TGGACTCACCCATGATATATTTTCCCCATTCACATCTACTTTGTTGTTGTTTTTTAGTTGCTAAGACATGTCAGACTCTTCTGTGATCCCGTGGACTGTAGCCCACCAGGCTCCCATCCGTATCCGTCTACAAACCTCAGAGTCTTGAACTGCACACGTTGACCTCTTTAACCCCCTGCATGGGTGTCACTCTAGTTCAGACCATCATTATTGGTCATTGTAATTATTGCAACAGTTTCTTATCTGACTCCAGCCTGGTCTCCTTGCAGGTTAAAATGTTAAGTCAGACCGTGTTTTTTCCTTGCTCAGTTCCTTCCACTGGCTCTTCGTCTCACTCAGAGCAAAACCCAAACTTACTTCCAACTTTGCAGAATAAGCTCGCTACCCTCCACTGGCCTCTTGTCTTTCCCCTCTCTCCTTGGTGCTCCAGCCACACTGACCTCTTGCTGTCCCCTCCAAGAAGTTGAACTTACTCTCATCTGTGCAGACACCTGTCTAGTGTAAGCTCATCTTTTTGGAGAGCTGTCCCCCTCCATCCTTGTGGTTTCCTCTCAAAAAAGAGCTCCTGCATTATTCTACATACAATTGCCCTCAACTTCCTTCCCACCTCAGCAAGTATATGGTTTATAGTTCCTTTTAAGAACAATAGAACATAAAACAATGATAAATCCTAAAGGAAAAGAAATTATGATAGCTCACAAAATAGGCTAAGTTAAAAGTAGCTGTTTGTAATCATACTAACTTAGCCTAAGACAAAGGCAGTATGATTCACAGAAGAGGCTATAAGGTAAGGTTCAGACTTTTGAATTATGGAGACAAGAGCCAATTAAATACAGACCACTAAGGAACTTCCAAATGGAGACCACAGGGAGTCAAGTGGTTTGAGTGGGCACTTTGCATAACTCTGTATTCCTCTGTGACTTGCTGTGTTCCTGAATTAGTATATTTTCTCTTCAGCTGCTCTTAAGGGAAGGCACAAAACATTTATGGGTTGGGAAAACTTGTTGCCAAGCCAAAGCATCTTCCACATTTTACTCTTTCCATTCTGTCAATGCCTTATGAGCTCATTTCTGTCACAGAGGTTTGCATATGACAGAATAGACTATACTTCTTTACTGGAGGGGCTTTGGGCCAATTTTCTAGATAGGTATAGCACTCCCAACCTTCATATCAATTACTTATTTTTCTTTCTTTTGGAAAACCAATGAGATTCACAGATTGTGTCTGTTGTACTTGTTCCTAGATCACATGACAATCTATAGTACCCTCTTTTAGAAGACAAGAAGCAAACGTTGGAAACAATTTTTCTGATTTTTGTGTGAAAGCTCTGATACAAAAGTTGTGCTTGTATGAAATGCTTGAAAGGAAAGTGGCTATTGAATACATTGAAAATTACGTGCTTGAATTGGTCGTCAACATTGTGCCAGCTCATCATTTGTACCCACAACACAAAGTGAAAGTCATTCAGTCGTTTCTGACTCTTTGAGACCCCAATGGACTATACAGTCCATGGAATTCTCTACGCCACAATACTGGAGTGGGTAGCCTTTCCCTTCTCCAGGGGATCTTCTCAACCCAGGGATCAAACCCAGGTCTCCTGCATTGCAGGTAGATTCTTTACCAGCTAAGCCACAGCGAAGCCCAAGAATACTGGAGTGGGTAGCCTATCCCTTCTCTGGGAGATCTTTCTGACCCAGGAATCAAACTGGGTCTCCTGCATGACAGGCAGATTCTTTACCAGCTGAGTTCTCAGGGAACCCACAACAGACGTGAGCACAAATCTTTCCTCTTTCTAAGCTCACAGAACCACATGTGTATTTTAAACTAAACTCCTTGCTGCCAAAACAGAGTATTTTAAAGAGCTCAGTTGGTTGATAAAAGGGAAATCTCCCTAGCAGAGGGCTGAAGAAAGCAATGTGGCAACTTGGGAAGTTAGTTGGCATTATCTTGGATGGAGAATTAAAGACAGCAGTGGAAAATCTTGTGGCTGTTTTTATGACTTTGTGTCCTGAATTTCATTAAGCAAGATCTGAAAACGACTTTTTTTTTTTTTAAGCACGAGTTACCATTCTAGTTGTATTTATTTGGCCTTATTAATATCAGACAGCTTGTATAGTAATTGAGGGTAAGGACATTGTGTGTGCGTGTGTGTGTGTGTCCTCCATGTCACTTATACTATGGGGATTTGTACCATGGTAATGTAGGCAAATAATGTGGTAGAGGTTGTTGGTGCAAAGAGCATGTTAGGTCACCGAATTGCATGGCCAAATTCAATCTTTAACTGAGTTCTATGGGACCAGTGCTCACAGTGTGAGGTTTGATTTTCCCCTTTCAGCCTGGTGGGCAGTAGGTAGGAAAAATCTTAACCAGAGATTAACACGCCTCTTCCCTCCTCTGCCCCATGCACCTGGCTCCTGAAAATCTTAAACTCAACTGCTCAGGGGAAGAACAGCTTGAGTCATTCTGAGGGAAAGTTAGAATTATCACAGGAATTATACTAGCAGGTTATACAGAACTACTTGAGAAAGCAGGGTGAAAAAGATGAAAATGTAAAGTTGGAAATGTCTGTGGTTAACCACATAATCCAAGTCTTCTAGTAAATATGCTATTTCCTGAGCAAAATGTAGTTACTTTGGAAGCAATCTGAACTTTTAAAGTCACCTATGTACCATTTAGTATTTAAAATATAGTGACTTACAAAAGGTACCGAGAGAGAGTGGCTTGGGTGTTTCAGGATTTCTTCAGAACATCCAGTGTACTCCTAAAGAGCAAATGAAACATTTGGGGAGCTTGGCTCACTGAGGATGTCTATCCCAAATGTAATTTATGAAGCATCGTTTTCTATGCCTTAGCTTAAATACATGTGTGCGTGTTAATTGTTTCAGTCGTGTGTCTCTGCGACCTTATGGACTTATAGCCCCAGGCTCCTCTGTCCATGGATTTTCCAAACAAGGATACTGGAGTGGGTTGCCATGCCTTCCTCCAGGGGATCTCCCTTATCCAAGGATTGAACCGTGTCTCCCACACTGCAGGCAGATTCTTCACTGCTGAGCCACCAGGGAAGCCATAAACAGTTTCACAGAATTTTGCACATTGGGTTGGCCCAAAAGTTTGTTCATGTTTTTCTGTAACAGTTTACAGAACGAATGGACTTTTGGGGCAACTCAGTATATGATGTAATTGAGGAAGAGATACAAATTCAAATGCACCCTGAACCCGATCCTTTTTCATTTAATATGTTAAACATAAGAAGTCGGCAAACTATGCCCACAGAACAGATTTGGCCCACTGCTTCAGAAAAAAAGCTTTATTAATACACCACCACGCCCATTCACTTATGCACTGTCACTTTCATGTTACAATGGCATGATTGAGTAGTTGTGACAGAGATGGTATGACCCCCAAAATCTATTTACCATTTGGCTCTCAACAGAAAAAGCTGGCCAACACTGGTGTACATTATTACGCTAGTAACAAACCTATCTATCACCAAAGATATAATAGATGTCTTTCTCTGTAGCAATCACATTACACCAAAGATACAAAAAATACATTTCATTAGAACAAATCTTACTTCCAAGATATTTCAGAAAATATTCTGTCTTGAAATTCACTATCTATGTCTCAGATTTCCTTCCCAGGAGTTAATTCTCATTAAAACAAAAAAGACACATGTTCAAAAAGTGTCCTTTTATTATTTCTAGTAACATATATCGTATAAATACTCTATTTTTATATGACCTTTTACAAACGCGATATAACTTAAAAGTTTTATCATTAGAAAGAAATGTATAAAAATAAATATGTTATTATAGGCATTTATTACAAACTATAGTCCTTCTTAGAAGGAACACACAAACCAGTACTTATAAAGTACATAGAATTTATAGTAACGTATTTTACTATATACATATGGAAAAAAAGTCATTTTCTTTCATAGTAGAAGAGCTGAACAGACATTCACCAGGATATGACTGTTGGACCAGCTGCTGGGGGTGGGCCAGCCGCTACCCCTCAGTAGCCTCCCCACCACGAGACATGTGATCACAAGGTCCCCAACACCGGGGACCCTGTTGTACACACCCCATTCTCGTTCTGGCATTACATTCTTTTTTTTTTTTTTTTTTTGGTGATCTTACTGATTCTTTTCAGACACAAACTGTTTTTTGTGTGTTTTTTTTTTCCCCCCACATCCACATTCCTTCAGTCGGCTTACATCAGGAGGAAAGAAATAAAGGAGGTCCCCAGGTCATGAGGCCTCCTCAAGCTTTTACTAGCATCTGATACATCACTGCTGGGTTTTTTTTCCCCTTGTAGAATTTATGGTATGTTTACAAATACATGCAATTGTTTCTAGGTCAAAAGGAATTCACAAAGAAAGACACAATAATGGCACGAGAGGAAATATGGGAGTCATGTGAGTCACGGACATTGCGAAGCATTTCTTGTGCTGGACAGTCCCGAATTCTTAACTCCAAGATGGCATAAACATTCTCTGAAACCATAGCAGCCGGGAACAGTGATGGTCAAAGATCCTATGTGCATTCCTTTCTCCCTCCATTGACAGTGAGGTAAAGTAAGCCACATCTTAAAGCAAAAATCTCACTTTCCTCCTGCATTTCATTTCCCAACCTCCGTGATACACAGAATTTCGTCAGTATCAGGAAGCAGGGGTTGTTCATATTTCTTAAACTTACTTTTGACCACTGCTTCTGTTTTCATTAGAACTTATCAGGAACCTCACAAAAGAAATGATAATGCCCTGGGGCTCTCTTATGCTACCTCATTGGTCAGATAGGAATAGTCCTCATAAACTACACTATCAGGTTTGTAACTGGCAGGAAACTGATGATCTAACTTCTTTTCTACCTACCTCTACCTCCCAACTCATCGCCACCCCTGGTTGATCACCAGGGCAAGGCGCCCTGGATTCCTCCAGCCCTCTTGATTTCAGTGCATCAGCCCTTCCCCACTGCCCCATCCCTCAGCACCACCCCTGCCTAACTGCACTCTGCCATCGTGCAGAAGTCTATGTAGTGTTTAGGTTTCTTTAAAGGATCGCAGCTCTCATGAGACAACACCCCCCCATCATGGGACAGACACTGCAAGGTTCTCTTCTTGTAACCCTTCCCGCAAGTCTTGGAACACGGCGACCAGTCCCCCAGCTGCCAGCGGGGGCAAGGCAGGTTCGCACAAGGTCTGGTGCTGGCTGGCTTCACTTCCTTGGCGCACTCTGAAGCAGGCTGTCCGTTGATGTCCCGGCACTCCACGAGCCTTCTCTGCACACCCAGCCCACACGACTTGGAACACTCACCCCATTCTTCAATGACCCACTCCGAGAAAGTAGGGATGGCATTGAAAGATTCCTTCCTCTTCTTCATGAAATAGGTGTATTTAATTTTGGGTCGGAGGGCATTGCCCACTGTCAGGACTTGGATGGTTAAGGGCTCCTTGAGAGGGCTGAAGCTTCGGATTCTTTCTAGCGCCGCCGAGGAGCCACTATACCTCAGGACAGTACCTTTGTACGTGATGTCTTGCTCCAAAGTGGACAGAGTGAAGTCGCCGTTCAGGATATACGTGCCATCGGCAGCTTTGATGGCCAGGAAGCTCCCGTTATTTCTGGATCCTCTCTGATTCCGTTGCTTCACTTCAATGTTTGTGGCTCCGGTTGGAATTGTGACGATATCATGATAGCCGGGTCTGCAGGCAAGAACAATAGAGAGAAAAATCTCTCAGTCACTGGCTCCTTATGTTACTTAGCTTGAAACACCAGGCAATCAGGTAAGAAAGTAATTTTTTAACCAGACCTGTAACAAGTTACATGGAAATGATAAGAACCTTCAGGAGTAAGGCATTTTAATACTTACTTTGCACTGGTAACTGATCCTGATATTTTTTTGCATGTAGATCCATTTCCTCCACAGATGCCACATTTATCGAACTTCTTTTTGGAGTCTATGATGCGATCACAGCCAGCTTTTACACACTGTCCTTGCACACAGACGGAGGTGGAATCTGGGCTACAAGGGGTGCCATCCACCACCTGAAAAAGGAAGGACATGTACCTGGTGTCACACGTTAATTAACAAGGGCAAGAGATGATGCTAGGAAAAGTCCGAAAGTCTTCCTCATTAACATTACATTTCTATCAAGATTAAAAATAGTACTCTGCATACTATCCTTCTCTTTGGCTTTTTTTTTCCATAGACATCTGAAATATTATAAATTTTTAGATTATCTGTGTCCTATCATACTTTTAGCTAAGGTCAATGAAAGCAGAGCTTTTAGTCAATTTGTTTACTGCTGTACCCTCAGTGTCTAGAATACTACCTGGCAAGAGCAGATGCTGATAAATCACTTGTATGCTGAATCTGCAACTGGGGACTATTTTCCTAGCCTACAGTGATCATGACTCATGATTTCCTCAACCAAATTCAATTCCATTTTCTATTTCAGAGCCAGATTTAGCCTCTCAATAAAACAGCAAAGCTATGCTTCTACTAGTTCAATATATGTTCTTAAACACAAGAGTTCTCAATGCTCAGGCTTTCACTATAAGTCCATTTGCACATGTACTGCTAGTCACCCAGGAACAAGCACTTCTGACTATCTTAAACTATTTTCCAAAACCAAGGGATGGTTTTCGTGTTAATACATGATATACCTATCCATGCATAATGGGCTTTTCTTCATATATAAGAGTAATAATAAGCCATTGCAGGAATCATTAAGCACTGGATTCAAGCTTCATCCATAACCCCAAACAGCACAAGACTCAAAGCAGGTAGTTACCAATGTATCCAGAAGCAAAGCTGTCCTAACTTGAAATTGAACTTGCTGATATATAAATTTAATATATATAATTTTGACTTAATATATACTTAATACATTAAGTATAATATATTTATAATAATTAAATATTATATACAAACATTTCAATATAAAAATATAAAACAACAAAGGTTGCATGAAAAGGTAGCAAGCCAAGTCTCGGGTTCTTAGACCAACAGTCCAAAGAAAAGTCATTACCTTGGGCTGCAAAACGAAGAAGTAGCCAATGCCTTTGGCTTGACAGATAAGCTTGCACCTGTCCTTGGGTGAGACTCCTGCGTATTTGGGTATCCACTCCACTGCGGGCCCGCTGCCAAAGGAAGCTTTGGATAACTCATTGTGTGCCTCACACTGTTCCTCTCTAAAGCTTTTTCCTGGAAAGAGAAGGAGATGATGACGTTATCCCTTTCCAACCTTCAAGTGCCCGATTGCCGAGCATCATTTTCCCCTTCTCTCTGCTCACCGTTAATGTCCGGACAGTCCTGGATGTTGCAGGACCTGTAGCGCATGCGCTTGCCCTCGCAGTATTTTCCTCCGTTCTTCGGCACCGGGTTGTCACACTCCCTCATCGTATATTGAACTCCGCCTCCACACGTTCTCGAGCAGTCTCCCCAGGGCCCCCACGGCCCCCAGCTTCCGTGAACAGGGGTCTGAACAGAGACACAAATCATTAGTGTTAGAATCCTCTATGGCAACCCTTTCAGGAAATAGAAAGATACAGGACACAGAATCAATGATGTGACTCTTTCCTGCATCCCTGCCAGAGGCTACAGGTCAGGTTGCTCATGGGGCATCAAATGTCTGAGCCTCACTTGGTCATTTTCCCTTCTGAGTGTCAAAGGAGCATGCGTTGCAGTGGATAACTCACATCAAAGTGCTTCTTGTCGCTCTTGTTCAGGCACTCGCTGTTGACACACCATTTCCCCTCTCCGCAGCTGGTGCCGTCAGCCCAGGGGAAGTGTTTGGTCTGGCACACGGGCAATCCGCCAGAGGTGCCCGTGCACCAGAGAATCGAGCAGGTGCTGGCCGCGTCTGGGCAGTGTTTGGACTCCTCTCCGAACGTGAACTGGCACTGCCGGTCGGCATCGTACAAGGTCCCCGGGAGATCGGAGGGCAGCTGGATGGCGACCTGGGGCTCGTCCATCAAACATTCACCTGCAAAGAAAAATACCAATGCATATTAATAAATAGTAACTAAGGGCACGCAGGGGACAAATCAGCCTCATAAAAGATTTATCGTTAGAGATAATACATAGCAAAGTGATTTGAAAGCTGAAGGGTTTGGGAGAGATATGCCAGAGAGATTTAAATTATTGTTAAGATGTTATTCTTAATGGGTTATTTCTGCCTTAACAATGACAGGAAATCATTGTTCTGCTAAACACTCAAGTTCATGTACTCTGGCAGCTTCTTGGCTAGAAGCACTATGTTTTATTGGAAATTCAGGTTTAAAAACATATGTTCTTGACAATGAAAGTCATTTTGAAGGGAGAAAGGGAAAAGAACAGAACAGAAAGAAAGAGCTCATTTAACAAGTGTTGTATGAACACGGGGATGTTTGGATAACATTGAGAAAGAGTAGATGGAAGGTCTTACCATGACCATTATCCAGAAATGTTGTAATCATGGAGGCACTGCAGGGAGACCAGGGCTGGCTGTGGTTCAGATTGGAAAGCATTGACGCCATCATGTGGGAATCCCGGTTGACACCATTAATGCCAGCACACTGCTTGGCATCATCATGGGGCATGTTAAACACATGGCCTAAGGAGAAATCCAAAACTCACATTAAAACATGTCATTTGCAGAATGTTTTTTTCCCCAGCAGAGATTCATCTGTCTCAAAGTGATATTTCTAAAGAAGAAATGTGTCCGGATACCATCTATTTTAGAGACAGTGTCTACTTTCCACAGGGTGTGAACCAATGTGTGAATTTCCAAATGTGTCCCTAGCTCCGACTCTCTGATTCTGAATTCTAATAAAGATAACCATGCTGAGAATCGTGCAAAAGCATTTTCTGCAGATTTTAGGGAGCTCTGGCACCTAAAATGGCAATATAATCTGCAGACGCTCCCTCTAACAGTAATACCTGTTTATCAGCTTGAATTCATGAATGGGGCTTAACTGGCACTCTAGAATGGACTTACCTAATTCGTGGGCGGCAGTGAAGGCGGCTTGTAAGCCATCATCCTCTATGACAGAGCAGCTTCTATTGGGATCACATATAGTTCCAACATCCGCCATCCCAAGAGTATCACATGTCTGGGCACCACACAGGTCCTAGAAGAAGCAGAGATTTGCCCTTTTTAATACACACACAGGATGAAATTTGGGATCAAACTGCTTGGCAGGGTGTAGCCTCCCATGTGTTTGGAGCATCTACATTCTTTGTTGCTGAGTAGCCCTTTTAGGACTATTTTGTGTGACTTTAAGATTTTCCCCTAACGCATTCAACTACAACTATGAAACCTGAGATGTTAAAGCTATGGAATCAATTCCATGGTGGTTCAGAGGCTAAGTCTTTAAGTTCCCAATGCAGGGGGCCCAGGTTCGATCCCTGGTTAGGGAACTAGATCCCACATGCTGTAACTAAAGATCCTGAATGCTGCAATTAAGACGCAGCACAGCCAAATAAATATTTTTAAAATTAGGAAAGATTAATCATGTTAGCCAATGAATAAATACTTAAGTGTGAAAATATTGGTAAGATGCCTTACAAACATTTGTTACAAAACTGACTCCCCAGGGAGTCCCGTCATGACTGGCGATGTCTGCCTCTCACCTGTCTGGTGAACAGAATTGCCGTGTCATAGTGCTCCGCATCCCGGTCACTGGGCGGGTTGTGCTGTTTCTGCCAGCCGCAGAAGTTCCGAAGGGTAAGGGCAGCATTGGAAGTCACTTCTGGGCCCTTCTCTTCCTCGTAGATGACCAGGATCTTTACCACCACCAGGCTCACTGAATTGCGAATGCTGGGGTGTTTGTATAACCGGGCCGCTACGGAGAACAAGGTCAGGAGGTAGTGCCTTAGCCCGCTGCCGTGGAACTCGGCCATGGACTGGTCAGCCACAAGCATCGTTTCCACATAGCGGGGGCTGGACACAAATCGCTTCTTTCTTAGGCTTCCAGTTCCTGTAAAGACACAAGGAAGATCATTTGCTCAGGGACAGTCTCGCCAAGAATAGTTTACCTTCCTAGAGTATATAAGGAAAGCCTAAACAGTCAAAGCAAATAATACAAAAATACACCCGGGGCAAACAATAACAAAAATATTTGCATCTCTGTTCACTGCAAATGTTATTTTTAAAGTTTTCTCCTTACTGTAAATGTAAAGGCCGTGTGCTCCTCTGAGGGGGTCAGCTTTTTTTTTTTTTAAGTAGCATTTTTATTTTTTAATCCTCTTTGAAATCATGCAATCTGAAAAAGGCAGGATGCACACCCCTCTTTCCAGTCGTAGTAAAATCTTGGAGCAAGGGGAGCAGGCAGAGCCCCTGAGTCACTCTTTCACAGGCCAGGACTCAAATCCTGAATGAGATCATCAGGCTCCACGTGGAAGGCCCCGGGCAGGGCTGGGGCCTCTGCCAAGGGGCCGGGCCTGAAAGAATCTCAGCCCGCACGGCTCAGCTCTCTCATTCCAGGGGTCCCTGGGGGTGCTCCGCTCAGGCCAAATCCGGCACGAGGACCACCCAGTCTGCCCCGGCGCCTACGGCCCCGACTCCTAATGCCCCAGGGAAAGAAAGTTCGTGCTGCAGAGTCGGGGGTGGGGGTGGGGGCACGGTTAATTATTTAGAAGAAAGTTCTCCGACTCCAGACTGTGCACCAGCCCGCCCCTCCAGGGAAGTCCTACCCTGGGCTCTGATCACGTAACTGCTTCCAGGAGCAGACGGACTGGGGGAGAAGAATTACATTCTGCAAGCCGTGGGGAGAAAGTGAAGAAAGAAACCAGGCACCAAAGTGATAGGAGGAAAGAACTACAGCAGAAGCAAGGCACACAGCAGGGAGTCCGGGGAAGGCGTGGCAGGAAGGATCGCGGTGACTAACTTCTCAACAGTGTTTCGGAGCAGAAGGGTGGCCGCGAGAGGGAGCGCACACGGGGAGGCGGGTGGGAGGCGCGGAGGCGGGGCGAGCCGCGCGGAGAGACCTCCCAGGCAGGTCGGGCCGAGGGGCCCCGCCGCCAGCCGGTCGGGGTCAGCCTGGTAAACCGGGAAGGGGACACAGGCCAGCAGAACTGAGATCCCAGCGCAGCTGTCCAGGCTCGAGGGCTGCGCATTCCGAGGGTCTCTCTCCCTCGCCCTCCATCTCCGCCCTCCTCCGGTCTCCGGGTGCGCGAACAGGCAGCGGTTACAGAACTAAGCGGCCAGTTACAACTCGACCGAACGGCACATGGACGACCGTTCGCAAGAAATTAACAAGGCAGAAAGAAGCCGCACAAGCTCACTTTCGACCACCAAAGTGGGAGGGACTGAGTTACCAGCTCTCCCTTCCAGATCCAAACGCTTCTCTTTAGCAGGAAAAAAAAAAAAAAAGAAAGAAAAAAAAAAAAGCCCACTGATAACGTCTGTCCTCTCTTGATAATTCATGATCAGGACAAATGGTGAGTTCACCAACCCAGATCTTAAGCCACAAATCACCACCACGTCTCGGTCCTGTCCGCAGACACAGGTTTCCGTCTGCCAACGGGACTTTACCCTCGAGTCGCGCGGCCCAGAGAAAGGAGGGAGGGGGCGATGAATGGAGAGACAAGTGGGAGCCGCTCTGGGACGGATACCTGTTCGGTGCCCCGGGCGCTGTGGCGCTCGGTCCCGTGGCGCCCATTGCGCGGTGGCGTCCTCGCCCACCGGCTCCGCGCCCCCCGCCAGCTGGGTCTCGTCATCCACGACCCCGCACTTGGCGCCGCCGTCGCCCCGCCGCCTCCGCCGCAGGAGATGGAACTGCTGCAGCGCCGGCGGCTCCTCCCCGGCGGCGGCGGCGTCGGGGGCGAGGCTCAAGGTGGCGGCGGCGGGCGCGGGTTGGATGAAGTACTCTTCGCCCTGCAGGTAGAAGGCGCCGCGCACGCCCTCGCAGAGGCTGAGCGCCGCGGCGGAGCTGGGGTCGCCGTCGACCGTGCCAGAGTAGAAGCAGTGCGCCAGGTCGCCCACCGGATCAGAACGCGGCACGTCCGGCTCGGGCCTGCGTCCCACCGTCTGGAGCGTGAAGCCGGGTGCCAGGAAGCTGCGGTCCGGCTGCAGCTCCAGGCTCAGCTGCCGGCCGAAGGCGTCCAGGCGGAGGTGCGCGGTCCTGAGTCCCGGATCGCGCTCCAGCACCGGCAGCACCAGCTCCTCGTCCTCCTCGGCGGGGCGCCCGTGGGCGCCCGGCACAACCAGCAGCGCCGCGGCCGCCGCGAGAAGCAGCAGCGGTGCGGGAGCAAGCTGCAAGCCCCGAGCCTTCGGCGCCGCGTGCCCCATGTCGCCTCCTGCCGTGCGCTTTCGGAAACCCGCGGAGACCGCGGGCTGCATCCGGGAGGAACCGCGCGCCTCCGAGCGCTGAGCGCACTGGCTATTGTTCGGGTCCAGAGCGCGGAGCCTCGCCAGCCTGGCTCGGGACTGTTAACAGTTACTCTGATTCTTGCAAAAGGGCGCGTAGAGCCCAGCCGCCGATGGGGCTCCCGGAGTCACTAAAGAGCAGGCGCTGCAGTTCTGCCGGCGCGCGGGAAGTTCTTCTGGAGAAGAGTTGGAGGCACCGCGCAGCAGGCGCTGGCAGGGTGGCTGCTGCGGAGACGCTCAGCGCCCCGGGACGCCTCCGGGGCCGGGGCGACGGGCCACACGAGGATCAGCGTCCGGAGACCCCCTCCGGTCTCCGCCTCGGTCGCGGTGCACTTCGCTCTGCGCAGGGCTCAGTCCTCTCGGCCCTTCTGCACGCCCTGGCAATGAGAGACCCCAAGCTCTGAGCCGCTTTCCAGCGAGTGCAAGGACAGAGCAGCCCCGGCCGCCTTTTTATACTTTAGACTGAGTCTCCGCCCCTCCCTGACCCCCCTTGCCTCCTCCCTCTTGGCAGCCTTTCTATCCCCGGGACCCCGCCCCCTAAACTCAGTCTGGGCTAAACTGCGCGGTGCGCGAGCTGGGGCGGGGGAAGGGGCTGGCTCGGCGCCACGCGCTCGTCAATCTGGGGGCGGAAGACGCAGGAGGGGCCCTGTGACCAGCCCTTTGCACTTCTGGGGCTGCTGCTGGGAGAAGGTCCTCTCTCCCACCGCCCCTTCCACCCGCCGTCTTCTGCCAGGATAGCCGGGACGTGGTCCCTCTCTCGTGCGGGAGGGAGCGTGAGGATGCAAGTCGCGGGATGGAGAGCGGAGTCCCTTCTCCAAGGTTTCCCCGCCCGGGAGCTGTCCCCTCGCCGCCTTCCTCTCTCGGCGCACCCCACCCCCCGCCAGCCTCCTCCTCTTCTAGCCGGGAGATGAGCCAGGGCTCCCCTTTCTAGCAAAACACCCCACTCCAGCTCTTCATCTCCCGGGCCTGCCTCAGGCCCGTTTGCAGCGGGCTCTCGCTTTGCCCCAACTCTTCTCTGGCAAGCTGGGTAGGGCCAGCGCGTCCCCTAGAAAGCGTGCCTGGGTGAGGAGGCCAGGAGGCACTTTCCAAGGGCCTTGATTTGAAAACGCGTTTGGCATCGATCTTCTCGTCCGTCATCTGCCCTCGCCTCCTGCAACTCCCATCCAGTCCCCCTCCGCCCCGGGCCTTAGAGATTTCTCGGTGGAGACCCGGGTTCACGCTTCCGGAAGAGGTGATCTGGAACGCGGTTCCATTCCCCGGAGCCTGGGGAGGGAAGTGCGCATTCTCTTCTTTGGGGGAAATACTCCACTCCCGCCCAGTCGGCCTTCTTCCACCTACTAGCAGCTGCGGGGCAGAGGCCAGCTGGCACAAACGTCCAGGAACCCTACTTTTCCACCCAGAGAGTGGCAGCATCGCTGGGGCTAGAAAGGATGCGGTGGGCAAATTAGGGGTACCCGACCCCTCCCCGCTTTTCCCCGTGGAAGCGGAGAGGCAGTCGGAAACCCAGAAAAGCTGAGCCTTTGCACCTCTATCTAGGTCTCTAAGCAAAAGCCCCAGCAGCTAGCTCTTCCATCGAAAAAGAGGGAGGGGCCCGGTGACACAGAGGAAGGAAATGTTTCATAACGTTTTCCCAGGCGGAAAACCACGGGGACAATGGTGAGAACGACCGCCCCAAGCCCGGGGCCGACCGAGTCCGTCACCCTTGCGCGTTCCCACTTCCTCGCAGGGCCGAGTCTGTCCTGTCTCGCCGCCCCCGCCCGCCCCCTTAGTTTTCATCAAGTTTGATCTCGGCCTTTTTCCTCTCTCCACCCTAGATCGTTCCGAATTCCTTCTGTTCCAGTCCTCTGCAAGTCTTCCCACGCGTCCCCTTTCCAATGTTTGCATACAGAGGGAAAAAAAAAAAAACCACACCAAAAACTTTGCAACGTCGTCTTTTCTCTTGAAGTTCTAGATCACCTACGTGAAAAACAAAACCCCAAAATCTCTGTTCCCCACTCTTTAGGAAAGATCGGATCGGAAAGAATGGCACAGAGAAAGCCCCAAACCGCTTCATCCTTGAAAGGGTTTAGATAACCTCTGGTCCATACACTTAGGCAGCATGGATGTTTTCTTAAGTGTGATTTTCTTTTCCTGAGGTCATTTTCATAGATGAACGCGTAAGCCAGGAATTATGTATACTTTAACAACAGAAATTGCATGCATTTTAGCAGCAGATTAGGTATCTCAGTGACTAGTATCTTCTTCCCTCCTCCACTCTACCACTGTCTAATATTTTGATCCTGTTTCTGCCCTCCCCCTTTCATCCAATCTCTCACCCCATTTCATTTTTCCTTCAGATTTAATACTGACGTACACACTCATGAGTGGCCCCATTCATTTCTACACTATCTCGCCTAACTCATTCTGTTCATCATTGAACTAAAATTTATTTCTCTCTGCAAGTTTCATTTCCCAAATTACCCCTGCTTCTCAGCTTGTAAACCTTTCCTTCCCCTATTACAGTAATTTTTAATGTTCTGTTTTTCATTTCATGTGTCCTTTCTCTCCAGCTAATTCAAAGATGAGATATACTTTGGAGCACATCTGGAAAAAAAAGTCATTTTACACTTAAAAGATCTTGACTGTGGAATCATGAAAACGTGATAGCAAACTCATCAATACATTTTCATATCTCATGCTCAGAACAGGGCTCTGGAGACATGATGACCTGCTGCTGGGCCCCACACTCTCTTTGAGATGAGATTTCAAACACTTGTGGTGGCCCAGGGGCTGAGAGGCTTAACAGACCCATAAGGGAAAATGTGATTCTTATGAATTGGGACAAGATGGCAGATTCAGAAGACCCGCAGAAAATGTGTAGTTTTCTAAAAACTCATGTAATGCATTCTAATCTGTCAACTCCCCTATGTACACTTTAGCTTTTAAAATGTATTAGTGCAAGTTTGGCCTTTCGGTCCTTTCTGCCTCCAATGCATTCTTACGGGAGTTTGTTTAATTCAAGGCATACATTTCTAATCTTGAATTGCTTACCTCAAATCTATTATAATTTTTGCATATTTCACGTTGGCTATACAAATAGAGCTGAAAAAACAAAGAGCTAAAGGCAAAAGTGGCCAGGAACATGACTTTTTTATTCACTGGGTTTCTCTCCAGAGTTCTGTTCTTTTGCGTAATGATTCCAGTCTGTTGTGCACCTGTAGTTCTGGGAAATGATTCTTTTTTAATCGCTTCAACAGAGGCATGGGTGTAAGAGCTGCCAATTACTAAGATTGAAAAACTTCATCCACACTCAGAAGAACATTTAATCTACTTGCGATTTTACTTTTTTCAAGATCAGCATTCTTTGGGCATATATTTGTGTGGTAACACACAATTATATGCACATAACATAGATGTATATTTATAAAGAAAATTGCGAATTGAAAAAATAATTCTCTGTAGAAACAAGACCAGCAGAGCAGAATTTGTGCCTGGTACTAGTAAAAGTGGCATGTAATATCACGTGCATGCGTAGTCCCTGCTTCATGTCCTCCAACTCTTTGTGACCCAACGCACTGTAGCCAACCAAGCTCCTCTGTCCATGAGATTTCCCAGGCAAGAATATTGGAGTGGGTTTGCCATTTCCTTCTCTAGGGGCTCTTCCTGACACAGGGATTGAACTGGCGACTCCTGCATTGGCAGGTGAATTCTTTACCACTGAGCCACCAGGAAAGCCCTGACATGTAATACTGGGTCAATACTAAGTATGTTAGTAAGTATCACATTCTCACCCTTATAAAATGTTTGCTGTTTGATTTAAACATGCATCCAAAACATCTCATTTTGTCCTAAACTCTGCTGCCGTATTTCTAATTTTCCTTGCACAGACTACACAAATGCTTATATAAAATAAATCTTGATATATTCTAATTTATTGATCTTAATCAATTTTTTATTATTTACAGAGAAGACTTAGTAAAATTTAAAGTACTTTACATAAAATATTCTTACAATTAAGAATTTGACCTTTTAAAAAACTTTCTCATCCTTTGTTAACAGAGAAAAGAAAAAGTTTCACGCATTTTAAAGACAATACAGAAATGATAGTTCTTAAGAATTGTTTTTCAAATTAAGTATTCAACAAGTAACCATGAAAGGAGAGAATCTGGTCATATATGTGAGCTATTAGCACTGTTTTAGTGTAAACATCATGTACAGAAACATTAATGTACCTATATCATAAACATGTAATGCTATTTATTCATACTTTCATGCAGTAGGATTTACCAATTAGGCATAGGAAAACTGTTTAGCATTAGTTCTTTTTCTGGGGACCTATGGTCTAAAAGAATATTGGACAAATGAATAGTTTTTTGGTTGTAAGTGAGAAAATAGAAAACATTTCTTTTAAACAGGTTATGTAGCCAGAAATATAACATATATTGAAAATAGAGAAATGGATGTATATTGCATTTCGATTTGCAACTGCTGTGATACAAAGCCTCACGTTTGCAAGATTCTTTCCAATCTACTTCCTTTGTTTGGCAGATGTGAACCTGAACCTCAAAACGGTTATTAATGCCTAGGATGGTATAGCCTACTTGGGCGCTAAGAAATGACTCTGACTTATACTTTTAATCAAATTCCTTATGATATTTTAGCTGTCTAATTGTTTGGTAGGTAAGTGTGTTGTCAGACTTGTTATTGCTTGTTATCGTTGTTTCCAGTAATTACATTTAATTTAAAATCTGAATAGGCGTTTTTTATCAATAAGAAAAATTTCCACCTTAACAGTCACAGCCTATAGTATTTCTTTCTCGGTCCACAAGGTGGCGATGGTCTACAACAAATAATGTGTAGCTCAGGTTTTATTGTTCTTTCCCCTGATAGTTTTTCGAGAATTTGTAAAGGTTTTACACTTTTTCAATCATATGTCAAAATGTTCACCAAATTTTAACTTTTGGTTAACATATTGATTAAATTGTAACTTTAAGTGTATTTTCATTCTTAAAATAATAAAATGCCTTAGTCAACTAGTTTCAATCATGTAGCTCTATTAACTTAATCCAAAAATCAATTAAACGTAAGAAAACTACCTTTGAGATAATGCTATGGATCACTTTCATTCATCACATGAGAGCTTTATGTAATTCAAATGATAAAATTATAGACATTGCAATTCACTAAAGCAAATTAAAATTCATCCATTAAATATATTTACTAACCTACAGTATGCCTAGTGTATCAGTACTTGACTTCAATGCTAAAGGTAACTTATTTTCTTGGTTTAGAGATTTTCCTTACCAACAACGAAAAAACTTTTAAGTGCAAAAATGAAATATGAGAAAATCTTCTACCACCAGGTGGCGACAAAAGATAAAATTTCAAATGTCTCTTCTGTTCACTACTTCTTGCTCCCAATACG